TTACAGATTTTGGATGTTTTTCATATATATATGAAAATGTAGAAAAACATCCAAAATCTGTAAAATATATATATATATAGTATTCTGTGTTGTAATTGAAATCAAAGTGTATATTATTTTTTATTACAAATATTTGCACTGTAAAAATGATAAACAGAAGAAATAGTATTTTTTAATTCACCTCATACAAGTACAGTAATGCAATCTCTTTGCTGTGAAAGTGCAACTTACGAATGTAGATTTCTTGTTGTTATATAACTATGCTCAAAAACAAAACAATGTAAAACTTTAGAGCTTAGAAGTCCACTCAGTCCAACTTCTTGTTCAGCCAATGACAAATAAGTTTGTTTACATTTAAAGGAGATAATGCTGCCCTCTTCTTATTTACAATGTCACCAGAAAGTGAGAACAGGCATTTGCATGGCATTTTTGTAGCCGGCATTGCAAGGCATTTATGTGCCAGATATGCTAAATATTCGTATGCCCCTTCATGCTTCGGCCACCATTCCAGAGGACTTGCTTCCATGTTGATGATGCTTGTTAAAAAAATAATGTGTTAATTAAATTTGTGACTGAACTCCTTGGGGGAGACTTGTATGTCCCCTGCTCTGTTTTACCTGCATTCTGCCATATATTTCACGTTACAGCAATTTCGGATGATGGCCCAGCACATGTTGTTCATTTTAAGAAAACTTTCACTGCAGATTTGACAAAACGCAAAGAAGGTACCAATGTGAGATTTCTAAAGATAGCTACAGCACTCAACCCAAGGTTTAAGAATCTGAAGTGCCTTCCAAAATCTGAGAGGAATGAGGTGTGGAGCATGCTTTCAGAAGTCTTAAAAGAGCAACACTTCATTGCGGAAACTACAGAATCTGAACCACCAAAAAAGAAAATCAGCCTTCTGCTGGTGGCATCTGATTCAGATAATGAAAATGAACATGTGTCGGTCCACACTTCTTTGGATTATTATCAAGCAGAACATGGACGCATGTCCCATTAAATGGCGGTTGAAGCATGAAGGGACATATGAATCTTTAGTGCATCTGGCACGTAAATATCTTGCGACACCGGCTGCAATAGTGTCTTGAGAACACCTGTGTTCACTTTCAAGTGATATTGTAAACAAGAAGCGGTCAGCATTATCTCCTGCAAATGTAAACAAACTTGTTCGTCTGAGCAACTGGCTGAACAAGAAGTAGGACTGAGTGCTCTAAAATTAGGAAGTAGGACTTGCAGGTTCTAAAATTTTCCATTGTTTTATTTTTGAATGCAGGTTTTTTTGTACATAATTCTACATTTGTAACTTCAACTTTCCTGATAGAGATTGCACTACAGTACTTGTATTAGGTGAATTGAAAAATACTATTTCTTTTGTTTTTTTACAGTGCAAATACTTGTAATCAAAAATAAATATAAAGTGATCACTGTATACTTTGTATTCTGTGTTGTAATTGAAATAAATATATTTGAAAATGTAAAAAAAATCCAAAAATGTTTTTAAATGAATGGTATTCTATTATTGTTTAACAGCGCGATTAATCGCGATTAATTTTTTTTAATCCCTTGACAGCCCTACAAAATATACAAACTAAATATCCTTAAATCAAGCATCATTTTTCTTACTTTATCTTTCTGTAAATTTCAATTATCATCAATGGAAAAATGTTTTTGTTGGTTTGCATTTGTATGGTGAAATCAGTGTTTACCAACATTTCCCATAAAAATCGAATCCTTCTAAGCCTAATTATAAAGGATGGATTCAGCAGGCAAAATACACCAATAGTTAAGTTAACAGTTACCACATATATTAGCTGAACTTTGTGACAATTTTTCAGGGTAATAAGATAATTTAACATTTGGAAATATTTCCTTTTTTAAAAAACAGAAACTGTTTCAGTTACCCTTCTAAACCTAACAGGGTGTTCCAGATCTGTCCTAGCCAGTCTTTTTCATTTAGTCACTTTAAATGAATCAGCAAAATATTTACATGACTGCATAGATGTAAGTTACATCACTTCAGAGAACGATAGATATAGCAAAATAAGTCTGGTATCCTCACAGGCTCCTGTTATGATTGTATTTGACTCTTTTCCAGTGTTAGTTCTTAATAACGTCCCGTTTCAAGAGTTGAGCAAGAGCCTGTAGATTCGCTCTTTTATTTTTTAGAAAAAGCTCCTGTTACATCAGCCAGCTAAAAGTACATCCCTAATAAAACAGAGAGGCCTTTCAATTTGGTATGCACTCAGACATTTAATTCACAGATATTGAATACTGCGTTGTCGCTCCATCTCAAAAAAAATATATTGGAATTGGAAAAAGTTCAGAAAAGGGCAACAAAAATCATTAGGAGTATGGAACAGCTTCCATATGAGGAGAGATTAATAAAACAGGGATTTTTCAGCTTGGAAAAGAGACTAAGGGGGGATATCATCGAGGTCTATAAAATCATGACTGGTGTGGAGAAAGTAAATAAGGAAGTGTTGTTATTTACTCCTTCTCATAACACAAGAACTGGGGGGTCACCAAATGAAATTAATAGGCAGCAGGTTTAAAACAAACAAAAGGAAGTATTTCTTCACACAACACACAGTCAACTTGTAGAACTCTTTGCCAGAAGATGTTGTGAAGGTCAAGACTATAACAGGGTTCAAAAAAGAACTAGATAAATTCATGGAGGATAGGTCCAGCAATAGCTATTAGCCAGGATAGGCATGGATGGTGTCCCTAGCGTCTGTTTGTCAGAAGTTGGGAATGGGCGACAGGGAATGGGTCACTTGATGATCACCTGTTCTGTTGATTCCCTCTGAAGCACCTGGCATTGGCCACTGTTGGAAGACAGGATACTGGGCTAGATGGACCTTTGGTCTGACCAAGTATGGCTGTTCTTATATTCACAAAATGTTCATATCAGTGAAGGACTGGAACAGACTGACGTACTACAGTAGATACATCTTTTCATTCTGTTTATGATCAAAGTTTGTATTCCTTTATCTAGGCTTCACATCAGCATGTTTTTAGTTTATTTTACAAAACATGTGCATTATAGTAATTATTTTTTGTCAGTGTAACGCTCTAAATTAGACTGCTGTACGAGCATATTTTGCTTTCACCAAAGCCCAAATGTGGGACAAAGAGCCAAAATTAAGGGCACAATAAAGATAATAAGAAAGCTTAAAGCATTAAATTCACCTCATTTCAGACGACACACACAGCACCCGATATACTTCTCAAAACCATTGTAAGCCCTTAACATGTGGCATAAA